CTTATCTGGACTCAGGTCACATCCATTTAATGTATTATATCATTCGAGAACATTGTCCTTTAATTTAAAGTCATTCTAGGCCATATTGTTCTTGCACATTTTTCATTAAACTATTATACTATATTTGAAACAGAATAGGCAGAATTAATAGAACAAAAGAATGGTTGGAATGCAAAAAGAATGCATTGATAGAAAGTTTAACATAGTACTCTGTTAAAATATGTGTCAATCTTGATATCTTCTTACATTTAGTCTCTCACTTGGATAAAAAAGAAAAATCAAAGCCTGAAAGCATCAAGATAAGCAAGTAAACAAGACAAGTCAAACCAATCCCAATCAGTGAAGCCCAATCCAATATATCGAGCGTACTGCAGTCCAATTTATTTCAGCAGTAAGCCAGGATGAGATTAACTAAGTATTAAGGCATTTTTGTCCTTGTCCTATTTGCAACTGCTTTGCAACTCACTCAATGCTTGTGCATATTAAATGTTAATATACAGCAAGTTTCATTTTCATTATTTGGTTACCATTTCTCTCTTGGGGTGTAATTCTATTGACATTAATTATGGTCATCCTGTCTTTTCCGAGTAAGGGTTAAGGGTTATTAGTGGTTTTGTTTGGGATTAGGGACACGATCCAGGGAAATTAAAGAAATCTTACTTACAAAATAACAACATAAACACCTTTGTTTACCTTCTTTTCCAACTTTGCATGCTTTAATAGCTGTTATGAATAGTACATTTTGAAACAAATCTTTCATTTATTGTCTTTTCTCTATGAAAATTCCATTATTTTCTATTGTGTAGTTGTAGTCATTTTCTCATTTGCAGTACGTAATCCGTCCAACCTTAAATCTATAATCCCTCTCACTAAACCTCCTTCCTCTTACTAAATTAGGTCTTCAAAATGTATAAGAGTAAAAAAACAACCCCAATTCAAATGAGTGTTGTGTATGTGATTGTGTTGATATAGAGCACCATAAGATGTGAATGCCTGTTTGCAGGTGCTGTGAAACATGATAATAACAGAGGCATTGATGATATACTCTACACTGTAAAAAAAAAAACGTTGTTTTTACGGTAAAAACCTGGCAGCTTTGTTGCCAGAATAATGATGTAAAAAATACGGTAAACTGTAAACAACTTTACAGAACAACGTGTATATTTTACAGTTTAAAACTGTTGTAATTTACATTTTAAATCTGTCATTTCAACAGCCCTTTTCTGCTGAATTAGCATGATCACGTTGCTATTAAACTGATTATTTCAGTAAGATTTACATGCAGTTGTTGTCTATTGTACATTGAATCCCATTCAATTTTACAGAAAAATACCAAACAAATAACACTGTTTAACTGTAAAAGCATCAGTGTAATGCTGTAATTTAACTGAATTTTCCCGCAAATTGTAATCAAAAGTTGTGTATAATTTAGTGTATTTTGCCGTAGTAATGACGAGTTTTACGGTGAAATCAACATCTAAATACTGCAATTTAAATTTTCTGTAAAATGTATTTATTACAATTAAAATGCAGAAAAAACTGTTCTATGAATAGCAATCTCTAAAACCGCCTGTAAGGATTATTGATATATAAAAATGTTTTTCCTATACATTAGTCAGATTGAAAGATTTCATTTAAACTACACTGCCTTCGTATATATATGTTTGACTATTACCAGAAATGTGAAGAATGTAATCCAGGGTACACAGATTAAGCACTTAAAATTTAAAATGCAAAGCTAGATAAACCTCAAGAGCCACTGTATTAAAAGTTGAACAAATTCCAACAAGAACTTGACTTTCCAAGAATTTATTATATATATATAATAGCAGTGATCAAAAACATCTGTCATTTCTCAACATACATATTGGTAAAACATACAAACTAAGGCTGCACAATAAACAAACAGCTCACATTGTCCAGGAAATTCAAGCTGAACAAAGTTGAGAGGTTACTTGCATCACATCAAATGATTTATGGGAAATAATGTTTTTAAATATTTTAGTACTTTATATGTCTCATCTCTTATAGTGGGCACCTGTATAATATAATACTCGACTGTCACAGCCACAGACTGAGCTGTAACTTAGCCAAAATAAGGGATTGTCTTAGTTGAATACATGTTCATTGCTAAAGGAAGTGTGTACGTGATGAAGCTACAGTTGCAAAACACATGTGTGTGTGTGTGTGTGTCTAATGCCGCGTTTCCACTACACAGCCTCGCTCGGCCCCGCTCGGCCTCCTTTGGCCGCGCCCGGCCTCGTTAGGACCAGCTCACTTTGTGGCGCGTTTCCATTACAGTTTAGGAACCGGGTCAGTATCTATAGTAACACAGTGTAGGCGGAGCGACGCTGCTTAAAACTGCCGTGACGTCATCTTCAATGCGACACAACAATGGAGATGTGAAAGCGATCGTTTGCTTGTTTTTTGCTGTGTGGTTTATTATCACAAGAAATAGACAAGAGTTGTTTCGAAAGAGGCGACGTATAGCAAGACGAGGTATAGAAGAAGCTGACGCGAGAGTTCGGGCAGTCCTCCTACGCCGCAGAGACTACAGGACGACTCGAATCACTACTAACTACAATGCTACTTGGTAAGCTAACGTTCGCTAACTAGCAATGTGTTTAGGCTCACGCTCCCTATACGACCAAAGTATTTCAAGTATTTAATTAATTGTAGCTACCACTTTTACGTATTAAAATATGTATGCTTTTGTTTGTGTATTTCAGAAGTTACCGACCGAGCTACCGAGTGGTGGAATGTGATTGTTCCATCTTTCACACACTCAGTGGGTGGAGAACTTCAGGATGCCTGAGGAAAACCTACGTGTAATACCTAAATATTCATTGTATTGTATTGAACATAAATACATCTTTTCTTTTTCACATACATGTGTTTGTCAAATTATTTAAACCAAAAAAATGTTATCAGAATTGACTATTTAGTAAATATTTGAATTTCAAGCACCAGTACTGCCCCCATAATAATAATCTAATAAATTAAGCAAATATCAAAGCAAACTATAAACATAAATACAAAAGTGTAAAACACAACAGAACTATATTCATAAATGCAAGTGTAAAAAATTGTTAACATGGATGGAGGCTAAAGTATCCACAGCATAAAATAATATGATTATGATGGTTTGTCTGAAAGACACAGCCTCAAGGTTCAAGGTTTTTTATTTTGTCATACGAACATAGCTAGTGTAGTTATGACAATGAACATCTTAGGTCACAGGCTCCTCCAACAGTGCAACACAATAACCCAGATCAACAGAAATATAGTGCAAGTAAATATTAAGCGCTGTGCACCGCTCTCTTTGTATAGGTGTTTTCTTTTGTTCTCTTCTCTTTGAAATATATAAGCAATGTGTTTGAGTCTAGCACAACGAGGGTATTACAATTGAGTAATTTTTCTACATGTATTTATCATGTATTCTTAATACCATTACAAAATATGTAATGTTATGTTTTAGAGGAGGACCTCAAGCTAGCAAACTCAATTTCAAACAGTATGCAGAGTTGTCCTGCTAAAGAGTTAAAATGTATTATTTAACCAAGTATTTATTCTCTTATTTGCTTTAATTGCAACAGATGATAAAGGTTTCACTGTGATAAGTATTCTCTTAAATCCATAAACCCCTGTACAGTGCTTTGTGGACGATGGTGTTTATGATATTTCTGACTGCAGAGGGACGCCTAGATGATGCCATCTTTCTGTGCGATCGCTGGTGGGTGCAATTATTTATCAACAAGCAATAAGATAAGACATGGCATTGATTCTGCTGGGCCAGTTGCCGTTCCTGCAGGGCCAGATCCTCTCCTCCTCGGTTTGTGCTGTTGATGCAGAGGACGTTGTTCGGAACTGTTCCTCCTCGCTAGTCCCAATGTAATCATCTAGAACAGAAACATGACTTGTAAATTCCACAAACTACTGCAGCACAATACTATAAATAGCAACAACAACTATAGAAAAGACAAACTGAACGTAAACAATGGCACATATGGTGTTAGCAAACAATAGCTCTCGCTAATGCTATCTGCCTAGCTAGCCTTCGGGGCTCCATCGGGGTTGTCGAACATAAATGTAAGGATAAAATAGACTTATTTGTTAGAAGTGAGCTTTAAAACAGATAGGGACACAAAGCAGGGACACAAAGCTTTCAAGCAAATAACAGCGTTAGCAAAAACGTACCATGCAGACTCCAGTAACGCCGTTGGAGAGTCCAGTGTCTGTGTAGAGACCTCCTGAAAGACTTTGATATTGCGAGTTGTCCCGTCGAGCACCCGCTGGACCTTATCATCTGCAATATAATGGACGTCGTCACTTCCTCGACCGACCATGGTGTGCTTTTCTTTGCCATTGTTGTAGCTCCTCTGTTAACAAAAATGCTGTTTGTAAAAATGGATTATCTCGCGCGCAGATTGTGACGATTCTCTCCGACCAATCAGCAGCCGAGAGCGTTGACGTCACAAACACAGCCCGGTTGTCTCTGGCCCTGGCCCCACGATTTTATGAGGCCAGAAAAACTGAGAATTAGGACCAGCCGGCCGGTACTAGGCCAAGTGGAAACGCAACCACAAACGGGCCGCTGACGTCACAGCCCTCTTAAACCGGGCTGCGCGCTGTAGTGGAAACGCGCCATAAGTGAGATAGGTGAAGAGGTAGGGTCAGCAGAGACCCTTCACTTCAGAAGCAAAAACCCAAGTGGAAAACAAAACAAAACCACCCAGTGGAGTGTAACACGTCAACATTTTTACACTCAACAGTGATGTCCTGAGCTTTTACAATGACCTTAAAAGAATAGTTTGACATTTTGAGAGTTACATATTGCATTTTTTTAAATTAGTTAAAAGAACATGAAAAAAAAGGCACTTCAAATTTTAACTACGATTTAAACAATCAAACAAACTGTAACTTGGGCACATCGCCACATGCCATTGATCTTACTGTCCATATTCAGACATCACGCCACTCATGGCTCGAAAGTTCCTGTATCAAGGTGAGGACTCTCGGGTTCACCTGAAGACGGGATGCACGTGTCTTCTCCACTTTGGTGCCCTTCTCTGGGTTGATGGAGAAAAAACACCTTAAAATAAAAATACTAACAAACAACAGAATTAATAATAAAATAGCTTGCCTAACAACAAAAAAACTTCACATCAATCTTATTATTTTGAAGCCAAAATGACAATTATCTTAACCCCCAATTCACTGAAGCAGCTGCTTTAGATTTGTTGCAGTTTAATAAAATAAATTGTTGGATAAAGCCAATCCCAAAAAACACATACCTCTGGACAAACTCCAGGGTGGATGCCAGCTCTGACGGGTAGGCGATGTTGAAGCAATAATAGCTCCCAAACATCATGGACAGGGCAGAAACCAAGGAGGGGATGTTGTCCTGTACTATGTTTCGATCCACACTCAGCATGAATCGCCTTGAAGAATAGCATGATCGTCCTAAAAAAGAAGAAAAACACAATTCAAACTAAATTAAAACAAGACTTGTCTTCCTGAAATATTTCACAAAACAATTTTAGCACACATTTTAAGGTCTGTTAAATTGCTCACCATCAATACAAAAATGTATGTATGTGTATTTGCAGGTTAAGGGGAGATAAATGTAATGTCAATTTGACTTGCTTTTAGGGGATAGTTCATATTGTTTGAAGGGGGGTTGTAGGAGCTACAGTTTAGAGAAACGGAGAGGAGAACCAGCAGACAGCTAAGCAATGCACTGCTGTGGACATAGTTAAGCCACCAAAAAAGCTAAAACAATATTACTCTTAGTGTATGCTATATTAAAGAATATTTTCTTTACAGCTATACAGTCTGTTTCTGATAGGGACTGAAGCAGCAGGGTACATTTGTGACAATATCATAAATATAGCATACACGTAAACTGAATTTTTAGGTGGCTAAAATACGTTTCGCTGCTGCACCCATCCACAGCTTTACATACGTACCCGTACTCCTGCCTGTTCCTCCAAAGACATGCAAGTAATACACTGACTATGGATAAGTATCCATAAGCATCCAAACTAGCCCTTTACGAGCTTACAGTAACAAAAAGCATTGTGCAACATAAACGTCTCAAATTAGACAGAAAAGAGAGAAAGAAGTGGCAGAAAGAACAGAAAAAAGTAGACTGCCCGTTAACTTTGAACCCCCTCAGATGTAACTTCAAACCCCCCACTTCACAACAGCATGAATTAAACGAAAATAAAGAGTTCAGCTTTTAGCATGATACTTCAATAACCCAGACTATTTAAATTAACTCCCGGTCAGTAGACGTTATAACTATGACTGCAAAATGCACTCAATCACAAACAGAAGCTAGTATTGTCCTGACAACACACCGTTGTTTGCTTGCAGTTCGCGCCAACACATTTGAAAAAACACTTATGCAATGCAGAACATAAACGTTTTGCTGCAAAATGCACTCAATCACAAACAGAAGTTAGTATTGTCCTGACAACACACCGTGTTATAATTGAAGTTTGAAGAAAATAAACGGTTAGCTTACCAGTGCTACAGATGTGATCCTGCGCTCATGTGCACACAGCTCCGTGGCAGGCAGACTTGAGACAGACTTGGCCACGCCCTGAGCCGTAACCGTTAACCTGCAGGTAATCATTTTTAGCACGCTAACATGACTGCCCGTTAACTTTGAACCCGCTCAGATGTAGCTTCAAACCCCCCGCTTCACAACAGCATGAATTAAACGAAAATAAAGAGTTCAGCTTTTAGCATGATACTTCAATAACGTTACCAGACTATTTAAATGAACTCCCGGTCAGTAGAAGTTATAACTATGACTGCAAAATGCACTCAATCACAAACAGAAGCTAGCATTGTCCTGACCACACACCGTTGTTTGCTTGCAGTTCGCGCCAACACATTTGAAAAAACACTTATGCAATGCAGAACATAAACCCTCAACGTTTTGCTGCAAAATGCACTCAATCACAAACAGAAGTTAGTATTGTCCTGACAACACACAGTGTTATAATTGAAGTTTGAAGAAAATAAACGGTTAGCTTACCAGTGCTACAGATGTGATCCTCCGCTCATGTGCACACAGCTCCGTGGTCCGTGGAAGGCAGACTTGAGACAGACTTGGCCGCGCACTGAGCCGTAACCGTTAACCTGCAAAAAGTGGCAGCTCCCACGATAATTAAATAGTCCAATAAAATAACAGAAACAAACTCTACTGCTCAGTAGGCGTGTCTCAGTTCAGCGGCCGTTTCCTTCGGAGGCGTTCGATTACTGTTTGGGCTGTCTGCCGTGGGCTGCATTCCACTCCAAATAGCCGGTCGGCCGCAGAATCCAAACGCCAGCTGTTTTATGGATTCTCATTTAATTTCCAAGAATATCTCAGTACTGGGTTATTTCCAATTTCAAAAATAAACATATGTATTAAACAAATAGAAATAAGAAGTAAGTATATTATAGTATATTCAAGAATGAAAAAATATAAAAAAACATGATTTTAACACTGTCATGTTGTAATTGTAACTGTATTGTATTGTTTTATGTATTACAGTTTTTCTGTGTTCAAACCACAGTAATCTGTAAATTATACAATGAAATATAATTATTTTAACATATTCTTAATGTGAATTTAACAGTTTTGTTTGGTTCAGTACTTTACGAAATATTACTGTAAATTAAACACTGCTTCATTGTTTCTCTATTTACAGTTTTTTGATGTTGTGATTTTACAGCTTTTCCCTGTTAATTTCACGGACTTTTTTTACAGTGTATGCATGTGTTGAATATCATAGTAAAATCCATTATTTTCCTAGTATAGACTTGAAACACAACACTGATTGCCTCTCTTGCCTCTTATTCTCTCTCCCTGTCATTATCGTGTTTGATCACTCCATTATGCATACCCCGGTCTTCTTACTCCTTTCTCCGGTGTCTTCCATATTTATTTTTTCATCTTCTAATCCAAGATTCTCTCTATAAATAAATAGACACATGTCTCCACACATGCGCATATAGTCATGCAGTATTATCATGTATCGGGTCATACTTTTCTATTTTTAAAATGGTGCATGCTGTTACATCGATCTGCATTATTGGCCGTTAGCAGCTATTGTCGACAGCCATCCCCTTTTCTCTTTATATATTTGATTATTTATCCATCTCTGTCTATTGCTTTTGTAATCTGTTTGACCTCATTAAGACTCCATTGTTGTAATGCTGAACCCCTTAGAGGTTAAAGGGCCCATGTCATGCTTTTCCGGTTATTACCCGTCCCCTTGTGTGTTATGAAGGTTTTTATGCATGTAACCGGTGTGCAGAGTCAAAACCCTGAAAAAACACCCTGTAGCGTGTAAAACTCTAACACAGAAAATATCTCCCGAAAAAACGCCTCGTTGGAGATATGTCATTGTCCATTTGATTCTTCCATTTCGTTCCGGGTATGGCATGACATCATGCCGGAACGAAATGGACCAATATGTGGAGCCGTTACGTTACGTCCGCGGAGCCGTTACGTTACGTCCGCGGAGCCGTTACGTTAAACACCCGCTGATTGGTTCAAATTGACCAATCCACGGACTTCCTCACACACACACACTCTATGTGCAGGCAGCAGCTCTGCTGATTTCTCCTCCCTGGCTGCAGGCTGATAACAGACAGTTGGGATCGCGGCAAAATTCTCTCTGCAGACCCATTCTCACAGCGTTTATCAACCTTTTTCGTACTCAATATCAAGCCACACTTATTGTTTTTAATCCAGCTGTGAGTTTGTGTGTGCTCAGGATGAGTTTGGCTGTGTTTAGCTGTGTATCCTAAACAAGGAAACCACACCTCCACGGAGCTCAGTGCGATTCACAACGTCCCGACCAATCAGAGCACACTGTGCTCACAGGGAGGGTGGGGGCTGGAGCTATTGGAGCTACAACGAGCCGTTAAAGGCAGAGAGTGAAATTCAATGAATACACGTAGTTTACAGAGATGCTGTATGAGAAACCAATGTGAGTTTGGAAAATGCACAATATAAATATATTCTAGTAGACCTCAACAATGGAATTATGATCAGTGGAAATGGCCATGACATGGGCCCTTTAAGCTGCATTACATATGAGGGTTTGATTTGTATAATTGCTATGTATTTACTTCATAGTATCACAAACAATGTAATTAGCTGTGGATATTGAATAGTCTGACCTTGTGATACTATAGGGGCATTTTTGGGAACTCACTGTGGACCAATCTGTTTATTCAAGATTTAATGATTATGTTTCATTAGATCTGAATATATGAATTTGAAATAGGTCTGACCCCTGAAAATGTCTGAATCAAACCCTTTAGCCTATTTAATAATGTATTGGTTATGGGTGTTGAAGCTCACATGGAGTAACAGTATGTATAATGAGTTACTTATGCTCATCATTCCACAGACATTCGAACCCAGAAAAAAAACTCGCTGTGGATACAATCCAAAACGTACTATTCAAAAAGGTAGCACACATTTTGTTTTGATTATTTAGAAAAAAGTCAGCACATTTCCATTCTTTATAGTTATATGTAGCTAATATTAGGGGTTGATTCATCCAAATTAGCAATTGTTAGAGCTAATTTTGCTAAGTTGGTTGCCAATAAACCAGAAGAAGATTGTGTACAACAACGTAGAAGATATGACAGAAATATGGCATTTATGTTTGATCATGGTTTGATTTGGCATTGATCAAATCAGATCTCATATTTGTGTCTCCTCAAATTACCGTCTTTTAAGTGAAGCAGACCATTTTTAATTCAATTGTTAAATGATTAATTCCCATAAGGACAAAAAAGTGTTAAGAAACTCTTCAACAAAAGAGCACCTGACTACCTTGATATCAAGGATGTATCAGTATAACTGAATATTAACTGCACTGTATTTCAGAGCACTAATCAGATATTCGTGACATCTGCCTAAACATTGAGATTAATGTTGCCATAGGCGGTGAATGTTTACCCAAGCAGAAGCCTTTACACTTAATAAATCAGAAAGAAGGGTGGTGTTGCTGAAGATCTTCGGCATGGTTCATGGATTCTCAGTTTGCTACCCGTGTCAGCTTATCTGTTTCAGAAGATATTAGCTCATATGTCAGTGTGTGAAAGTGTAATTAAAACAACTACAACCAGGCAATTTTGTTGTGGTGCTTCATGTTTAATTAGCGACTTATTCCAAACATAAAATGTCCCATTCTTGGCATTCCTGCTGCCATCAATTTGAATCATGGCCTTTGTTAATTTGTTAAATGTACTGTGATAATTGTAAATGTTCTGCGCTTCACAGACATCAGTTATTACATTCAAAATCCAGTTTGACAATTCTCCCATAAAATCCAGTAATAGTAATAATATTAGCTGCGCAACCTAAGATGGAAAAACACACAAAAAAAGAAAGGAAATATGTTTTTCAATTACTTCCATTCCTGACTTGCTGATAATGTAAAACATGTGTTGTATTGTTTCTAATGTCAACGCTTGCCACACATTTGGACATCATTTTCGAGCTATATCTCTGAAAACACCCCCCCCCCTTCATTTCAAATGACATCCGGCATACAAATATAGATTTCGGCGTACTGTTCTTTGATCCACGTTTTCATAAACATTTGTTAAGTATCCCCCTGATGCCCTTATCCGTTCTGACTTACAATAACTTCAAAGAGGTGCATACATTCATTTTCATTTCACTTTCATTCATTCATTTCCATGTTATTGAGATGCAAGGCAGAGTAGGGAAAGCAGGGCGGAGGGAAGAGGGAGTAAGAGAGGAGGAGATAGTGTTGAGGACAGATGAAAGAGACGGAGAGTGGAGAAGGTGGGTAGAAAAAGTAACTTGGAGGAAGATGAGGAGAAAGATAAAGGATGGCAAAGGTTGGAAGGAGAGTGGGAGATAAAAGAAATATGAAATAAAGGAGCAAAGGAGAGAAAGTGGGGGGATGGAAGGAGGAAATGAGGCCTCATTAGGAGTGAGGTCCCCTGCCTCAGCAACACACAGAGGACCTGCTGTCAGGGGTCCGGCTGAAGGGGCTTTAAAACACAACTGAATCACCAACCTACTGCCACCATCTCTTATTCATACAGAGTAGGGAGGCAGGGGGAACAAACTCAGATGAATCACTGAAGAAAACAAGAGATGCTCTGCACATAGACACACACAAACACAAGGACTTTTAAGGACACACACCTGGAAAGAGTGCTGCCAGTGGGAAATTAGAAAAGTCTTCCTCAGCACTTGCATCTCAGTGTTTTCTGTGTACCCTTGTCTTGTCTGTTTTAGTGCTTAAGATATGTGATGATATGTCGTTTTAAGGGATCAGTGTCAGCAACATAAACAAAAGAAAAACGTATTTCTTCCAGTGAAACTTAACGAAGAATAGGTCTGAATGTTTGTAAGGAAGGGCCCATCACTGAACTGGCTCGCTCAGTTTGGAGTGAGGCCCAGACGGTGTGCTGTCTGGGGGTCCAACAACTACAATGTAATGTCAATTCTGGGTCAGAACTATCCAAATTACAGAAAATAACCAGCCAGCTGAGCGTAAGTCGTTGAAGAAAAGGAAGTACAGCTTTTATTTTCTTAATTATTAGATCTGAGGGTGACACAATTAAAGTGAATGCAATACATCTAAATACAAATCAACAATTGAAATGAGATTATTCCCGGAAAAAAGGGCATAGAGTCAATATTTTGTAAAGCACCAAAAGTTATTTCTAAAATGATTTAGAAATATTGATAGTGCGGTAGTAGATTGTTCTCTATCACCCAGCTCTAGTGGGAGGCAAGTAGAATTTGATTGTGCTGTTTCAAAGCTAAGCATTTTATGCCTCTCTCGTGTCCTGAACTCATGTCCTCACATGGGCACTGAGCAATCACTGCTAATTGTTGAAAACAGCGTCCTGTCACTGCTGATAGGCTGATGTCTCAGTAGCGGTCTCTTTTAATTGGCCCATTCAAGTGTGTGCGTGTGTCCATACATACTTTATTTAGTGTGTGATCTTTCATTAATTACTGAGGCCAATAATACGTATTCCCCCCTCACTGTCCTTCATGTCTGTTTCTCCTTGCGTTGCCCTCTCTCTTCTTCTTTGTCTGTAACACTCCCTCTTCCTCCTCTCTC